CGTAAGAGCGCATTATGAGGTGCTTGATTAATAGCAGCCGTTCGAAAGACGGGTTTGCTTTTTATTACAGTATTGTTGGCCGCTCGTATTTTAATAACTATAGCAGCGGTGATACCACCAGTTAATGTAAAAAGTCCAACTAAACCGAGAACAAGACCAATGATTAAAGCAGTACTATTTACATTGGAATAATGTCCATTCAAAATCAGTATTGTAGTAGTACTGGTGGTGATAGTGGTAGTGGTAGTTGTAGTTGTAGACGATGTTGAAGTTGATGTCGATGTCGATGTTGTACTTGTGGTTACACTGGTAGTTGTAGATGACGTTGAAGTTGTACTTGTGGTGACACTGGTGGTCGAAGTTGATGTCGATGTTGTACTTGTTGTTACGCTGGTTGTGCTAGTCGTTGTTGAGGTAGAGGTTGTAGTCGTTGTTGTTGATGTAGTCCACTGAAATGAGTTAGAAGAAAGATTAAGCAAGATTAATTCGACAAATCACCGAATTATTTCAGCTGAATGTATATAATTTTCATGAAGTGTTCTCTACTGCATATCGATCTGATGATTCGAGCATATTATAACTGAGAAATCATGCAAGAGTAAACATAGAATAAGAATAGAGTCATTAAATCAGTGTATAAAAGGAAAGAAGAGCTACTAGTATATAAATGATACTACAATATCTATTTATCTATAAGTAAACAGAATCTGTCATATGTATGATGATAGGACGATCAAAGTGAAACAGAGACAATGGGAGTGTCACTATTGAAGTAATACTTACGTTCGTACTGATTATCACGTTGCTATCTGATAATGTTTCTTCTGCTTTAGTTATTAATGATGCATTCGACACAAAGGATGTGGCCGATAATGCAGTTGTGGTATCGATAAAAATCGTTGTTAAATTCATTGGTGATGATATATTTATTTGATTGCTACTACTTGTCGAACGTACTAATACAACTTCTGAGTGAGACGGGTCTATTGATGTTACAGTTTCCGTATATCGATTTGATATTGGGTTTGAAGTATTAGTTATCTTCAGTGAATAAAAATTACTACTTGACCCTTTGAAGTCAGGTGAATATGTGTATTGTTGATTTTTGATTAGAATTGATGATGAATTTATTGTAAGAATAGTTATAGGAGTATTGGTCAACTGAATACTAGTGTTTAAAGATCCCGCTGTTATGTTATCCGGAAGTATCTGTAAAAGGATTAAAAGACAAACAAAAGCACGGAGTAACACTAGACATGACTTTTCTTTGATAATACACTTGAAAGCAACAATGGATCAATGAATAGAGTATTTGTTTTATTCTATTTTTGTTTTGGTCTATTAGACAATAAAGTATAAGTCACACATTTTGAGACACACAATAAAAACGTTTTTAGTTTGTTATTATTGTTAAACACAAATCAAGTAACAAGAGTAAATTTTAATGATTAGATATGCAATGCAAACGCTCGTTGACTATAAAATTGTTTATTTCATGAAAATCCCCAACTAGTTTATTTTTCTTCAAGTTTAGATTGTTCAAGAATAGCAAACATACCTGTAACGATTCTGTGTAACATAACCCTGTCGCAAAATTCAAAGCGGTCGATTCGCAAGATAACATTGTTAAATTATTAAAACTTTCAACTAGGGATCCATTTGAGCAGTTAAAATCATCAAGAATATTAGATTGATTACGAAGAAAAATTTGTTTTAAATTGATAGATGCACATGTGCAATCTAATAAAATATTACTGTAGGTCGATTGAAGAGCATTGCGATATGCAAGAACAGCGTAACTATTACATGCACCAGCAGTTAAAGCTGCTTGATCATTTAATATATATGTACTATTACTTATAGCTATCGGAAATATGATATTAGACGGCGAATTCGTATTATTTTGTTGTGATAATGTAACATTTATTGGATTGATAATATTTGAACTATCGATGGGATTATTCCTAAGATCGACTGTAATATTTTTAAGTGTGTAAAGAAATAGATCGATTGAATCAATGGAATTATTTCTTAAATCCAGAAAACGTAAAGAACTTGGTGTTGGAGTAAGAATTGAGTAAGGAATTCTTCTTAATCCATTTGATGAAAGATCAAGCGAAACTAAATTAGTAAAATTACCACTTTTCATAGTTACGTTTGTCAATTGATTATTGTTTAATATCACTGAACGAAACGAATTGAGACATGGAAATGTTTCATCGGTAAGTGTAGTGAACGATTGGAAACTTAAATCAATATTGCCTGATGGCAATGAACACGTATAAGATGGTAATGAAGAGATAGAACGACCAAAATCAATACGTGTAATATTCGAAAAGTAATGGTTCGAACGTAATTCATTAGGAATGGTCGAGGAATTTGATGTATCATTTGTACATATGATTCTCACTGTTGACAGATTCGAAAAAGTAAAGAAGCATGCACCTGGAGTCATCAATTGTGCTTCGTAATGTGGATAAGTTGACTGAAGAAAAGAACAAATTGAATATCGTTTTTAGGAATATATAGAGTAGATTAAATATTCTTCTGTATATGTAGTTCTAATTGTACCAAAAAGAAAAGAATTTAAAAATTCATCCTAGATAAACATGATAGTGATTTCATAAAAAAGTACTATGACTTCCACAGATATTTAAGATGTATCCTTTTCTGTTCAAATAAAACATAGTTTTGTCTATTGAATATAATTAAACTTTTTCTATGATTTACAACTCAAAACAAAACGGATAAAACTAATAAAATAACTCCTATATTACCGCGTTGATTGTAGGAACAGTAATATTAGGCATGCTAGTCAGATAGCCACCTTCATCTTGATAAATTTTACATTGTCTTGGATAAACTTGTGAAAAGTCGATAGATGAATTAGGATGATCAATATTTAAATGGCATGCACTATCAACCAATTTTCTACCATCGGCGCATTGCGCGCTATATATTGGTATTGTTGAAGTTGTTGCTGGATCAACAGTAGCAAAAACTGAATTAATCATTGCTACAATATACGATTGATCACAACTACAATTGATTTTAGTTGTTCCAAAATCAATATAAGGCAGAGCTGAACTCAGCAATGGTTTAGTTAACAGCTCAATTGGTGTTGATGAATTAAGCCAATAGTAAACTTCACTACATGAACTATACATTTCATATATAGCGTCTGTTAAATTAATTGTTGCACTATTATTGGCAAGATAAATTTTTGACTCTAACAATGTATATTGAGATATATTATTAAAGATGCTATTCGTTATAATAGAAATTCGATTGTTACTAAAGTCGGCACTTTGACGCACTGCCAACGTCCATAACTCAAAATTCGTCAAAAAATTGTATGAGAAGTCAATGATCTCTAGATTTGATATATTGTAAAAAGCATTACCAGGTACATTAACCAGTTGATTATGTTGAAAATAAAGATATTGTAATGCTGGCATATTATAGATTACAGCAGATGGAAATTCCGATATATTATTATAACTAACATCTAAACTAGTCAAATTCGGTAAGCAATTATTTAATATACCTACGGGATCGACTTGAGCAATGCGATTGTGTGAAAAATCAATACTCTATTAAAAAACCAAAAGGTTTATAACTCTATATATCAAGAATACAATATTCGTTAGTCTACCTTTAAATTAAAAAGCAAGCAGATATTTGGAGGAATCGATGTAAAAGGACCTAGAGTAGTATCATTAACGCCATTTACTACAATCGATGTTATAGTAGCTAATTCGGGAGCAGTATAGCCGTACAATGGAAGTTCATCGATTATGACATCCGATAAACATTCAAAAACAATCTGTGTGCTATTATTTATTGAACTAGTACATTCTTGTTGACATAGACATAGCTAAATAGACGATTTCTTTTTCTTATATAGAAAAGAAAAATCTTTATTTCAATACGTACAGTCCATAATACTGAGTTCATCAAAATAATAGTGAACCATTTGATAACCATTATAATCTAAGGTTTTCTAAACAAAATGTTTTGCTTATCTTCTACAGTAAAAGATCATCGAATCTAGAAATCTAAAAAATAACTAACATAAAGCTATAACAATCTAATCATCTACTTAATGATAGAACCAAAATTCTTTCATACTGTTCAATATCTCGCACATCATGTTCTTCCAATTTTTCTACGGTTAGATTTAATTGATTGACAGTAACAGTCTTTTAAACAAACGAAAAAAAAACTGCATTCATTCGAGTACGCATATGATGAGATAACCTTCAACTAACTTGAAAAAGAAGAGCAAAGATAGGAGCAATAGAAAATTAAAAAAAGCAAAGTTGAAATGATGCCGATGACGACGGTACCTGTTTCAATCACCATCATCTCTTATTTGTTGAAAGTAATATGTGTACATGAAAAAAAATTCAAGAGAACAAAAAAAAGAGCAAAAATCCACAAGAAATAAATTAATATAAGAAAATTGAAAAAAAGAATGTAATGCAAGTTGACAATATTATTATGTTTCAGTCTGATTCTGAAATAAAACCTTTCAAAAGAGTATATCAATATAATGTGTATCTTTTTATTCTCATAACAAACATTCAAAATCAATGCTGTAAACAGTATTCAATGTCGTCGAAGAACTTTTTTTTTCATTATTCTCCTAATGTTATTCTAGAATAATTTTTTGTTCTTTCTATGTTCAAGTATTTGCTTGCGTATGTCATCTCATGATACTGTATATCTATCTAAAGCATGACTTGCGATTAAAATATTCATAATATTGATCGTATCATATATGAAAACTGTAAAATGTTGTTCACGTGAAAACGAACGAATCTACATTGTAATAAAATGATGTTCAATACTTTCTTGTAATTTAAAAAAAACCTAATTTGTTAGATTTCAACACACTGAAGTAAAGTTTAAGAAAAATAAAATACAATCTGTACATAGATAATTGCATTACTACTGCTTTTATAGGGATTGTGAAAAAAGTTTATTATATTTTTTCAGTATTGGATATGAAGTAAATTTGCGAATGAATGCCAAACAACGGCTTGAACTTCGAAGAAAAGAAAATAAATTGCCCAAGTAGAAAAAATAACTAAGTTATTTCGATTAAGCTATATGTTGTTTCTCTGTTTACGTTGGCATTAAGATTTAAAAATACTCACTTAAAATTCGCTTCATGCACGTATATGAATCGTCTTCGTAAGTAAAAAGAAAGATTGTTTTTGTTTATTCAACTAAAGCATTTATATATAATAGACCAAAGTAAAATCCATGGTTGCAGAAAAAAATCACAACATTCGATCATTTCTATGCACATCATCTTATTTTTGTCACTGGAACAGAAACACCTTGCATTGTCTGAGTTAGTAATGCACAGAAGTGTTATTTGTTTGATTTTGTCACTAGGCAAATTACATTTTACTCATTTATTTCCATTATCGATTGTTGACTGTGAGAAAAGCAGAAAACGAAGAATAGTCACAGTTAAAAACATATTGGTGTTATAAGCGATGCTATTGTTTTTGCTGTTCAAATACCTTTTAAAATTACCGAAAGTCAATTCTGTTAGAGAAAAATAACGAATTCTGTTCTATACTTATTCTAGATGAAACAAAAAAGACTTTATAAAATCATGATGGTTGAATTCAGTGTATGATCATGGATATAAAAAGGTTTTTTCCAGTATAATATTTCATACACAGTGCCAACAATTGACGATAATTTCTTCAACTTGAAAATAAACTAAAAGTCGATGACATAGTCTGTCATAAGTGCTCTAGAAATATATCCATAATTCGTACATTTCGATCCTTCCGTTTGCTGGAACCTGGAATGCTTTGGGGAGTCACAAAATAAAACTTGCTTTAAACTGCTATTTACTATATTTGCTTTTCAAAAATTTATGTAAGCTCCAGAATGAATCATATTGATCACAAAATGTAATTTTACGCTAGTGTAGATATAATTCTAACAATGTTGACTTGTCTCAATAACTAACAAACGTAAAGCAAGTTTTCACTAATACAACGTCCTAAGATTTCCTCATTAGCGCATGTCCTAAAAATTGAAGTTTTGGATCCATAAAAATTAAGTTAAAAATCCCATTAAAATCAATATGAATTTTCTATATAAACCACTTTTCTCTATAGTTATTTCTTTCAATCTAATTAATTAAATCATCCTACACAATCATATTATTCATGCATATGATACGTTACTTGGCTCAAATGCAATTGAATCATCAAAAGTTGATGTTTGCCATTTTTTATTTAGATTTTTCTGTTGAACATTTCTCTTTCAGTTACAGTAATGTTTTATGAAAAAATTATCATAAAAAAAAAATAAAAATAATTCCATAATTTTCTCTAAAAGCCTTGTAGGGTTGTCGATTCAATGCACCAATTATTTTTTCAACCAGTAACAATCTTATTATTTTATTAATTAATAAATTTCTACTATATTATAATATTCTCTCTTGTGAATCATATTTTAGATATGATTCAAAACAACGATATATTGTTTATATTCCAGTTATTCTCTAAATTGCTTTGACCTTCATAGATCCCTTGTAGCTTTGCTTCTTTAATACAGTCGAGTCCACTTATATAGAGCTCCGGATAAAAGAGCGGTTCGCTTATAAAAGCTGTGTTTTGGCGCTTTTTTTCGATTTTAGTCCGTATAAAAGAGCCTTTTTATCTATATGATTATAAATATGCACTTATGTTCTCCTTCTTTTCTTTTCTTTTTTTTATTAGTTATCCGTCAAGGATTTTTCCTTCTCTGTCATATATATCCCTTTTCAGCCGGCTCCCAGAAGCGACATAGTTAAAACTCTTCTTCTGCATATATTTTCTTATTCTGCTATAGAGATAGCAAAAAACTCTTTTTTAAAATTGAACGGTGCTTCTATGTTGAATGGCTGTATGTTGCCATTTGGCAACAGCCGGCTGTAAGGGATCAAAACTTTGAAAAATTCATTTGTCGTTTTCAATCATCGAAATTCACTATTTTGCGTTTCTTTCATTTAATTATTCAAGAAAAAAGTGTAAAAAAAATATGTACGATACGTCTGCACAGTTTCTCCACGGTTCAAATCGACTTTTGTACGGAAAATTTGACATACGTTGAATTTAAGGAAAGAATAGATGTATGGGTTTTTGTGTTAGTTGGCATCAGGATAGGTATTCTTGTAGATCTTTTTTTTCTCTACATACGTGCCGATACGTAAATTAAAGTAATTATTGAACTATTGATTCACTATCTGTCCACAGTATAGCTAGACCTTTCTTAAAATATCGGCACAATGTTGCCAAATGATAACATCCGGCCGTAAAGGGATATGTGATGGACTTTTCCTTTCTTTCATGTTGTTCTATGTTGGATTTTGCATTCTATGGATTTTTGCTTCGTCCTTTGTTCTATATATTGTTTCTCATTTTTCGTTGAATCATTATTTTTCAAAAAATGGCATCTACCCAGCAGTGGCAGAATTCTCACCAAGCAAAATTCGAGAATTCTGTTCATTTATAAACTATGCTATATTCTTTCTTTCCTGTGTTATTGTATATACACACACACTCTTAGATCGACAACAGAATTCTAAGCAGAATTAATCGTTTACCGGCAGAATTTTGTAAGAATTCTGTATTCTCTACAGAATATTGTATCAATACAAGAATATATATAT